AGCAGTTTCTTCTGTACATCAAACACACCAAACGACGGCGTAATCACCACGGTGCTGAGCCCAGTGCGCGACAAGTCGCGGTCGACATGGTTGCTCGAAAAGCTGTTGATCCCTAAATTGATGGCCTCGAGGATGTTCCCCTGGCTAGCTTTGCTCAGATCACCGCGCAGCCGGTGGCCAACGCTCGACACCAGCTCCTGGATGTCGCGGCGGTAAGTGTTGAACTCGGATAGAATGTCCGGCAAAAATGCCGACCAGTCTGAGCGTACCTCCATGTCCGCAATAACCTTGAAGTAGTCCCGATAGTACCGCTTGCAGCTCTCATCGTAGATCAGGTCTTGGAAGTACATGCTGTCGCGCACATGGTAGTACCAGCGCGAAAACATGACAATCGTCACCATGTGGTTGAGCTGCTCTACATGCCAGCGCCGGAACAGGTCTGCCAGGAAGCAGTTGACCGCCTTTTCAAAGCACAGGTTGCCATCCTCCTGGTATGCCCACATCTCCTCCGACATCTGAATGAAAATAATAAAGCGGCCGGATTCTGAACGAAAGATCGGCTGCGTCTTGTTGTCTATGTAGCCGCAGGGGACCTGGACCTTGTCCTTGTAAATCCGCCGCACCGACGCCCTGATCAGCCCCTCGATGTTGGTTTGCTTGTTGATATGCACAATCTTGTGCGACAGCGCCCGCCACAGCCGCCACATGTCGCTGCGGCCTACATACTGATCGCGGAAGGCAATCTCGACGAAGTCAGCGCGGATGGCGTCGCGCTCGCTGCTTCTGCTGGTGTCCACCTTGCGAATTGCCACACGCTGGCTCGTCTGGTAGTCGCCCCACACAGTTCGCGCAACATGGCTAATAATCGACGCCTGTATCTGCGGTGCGTCCTTCCTGATGTCACCCACCTGCAACAGAATCTCGTTCGTTGGTACAGGCTTGACAGTTACGTCGTTTCCATCCTCATCCGCATGGACACTTCCGTAGCCGCTGTCGTTGCCATAGAACAGCGGCGAGTCATCCTCGGGCATGTTCATCCGCTTGCTAGAATCGTTGAGAAGAGTGCTGCTGCCGGCATTGCCTCCGTTTGCGCCCATGCGGCGCTTCTCATCCATCTCCCGCCGGAAACCGCCATTCCCCGCATCAGTCAGTCGCAAGGGTCTACTCCCTTTGGTGTCTGGTCCTCCAGAATAGCTGGTGTCGGTTCTGTCGCCAGTTTGAACAACTCCAGGTGTAGAGGCCACACTGGGCCTTCCAGAGTCAGTCGATGATGTTGTTGCTGCCGCAACGCCCTTGCACTTCCCAATATTGACAGGGTCGCTGCTGTGCACGCCGCCACTCGGATCGTTGGTGTCAAAGGAGGCTCTGGGCGATGTCATCTCGCCCTCGTCACCGTCTGCCAGCGGCCGAATAGACACTATATCACCAACTCTAATTCCAGGAAAGAACGACGGGTTCAAAACCAGGTCGCTTGCTGAGAACGCCTCCTCGTGCACTCTAAGCACGCATATCTTGTTGAACGTGGCCGAAGCCCCGTGGGTGCCGGCATCGTCAGCGTGGCCGCTCTGGGAGTTGCGGTGGCCTGGCGGCTGGTTAAACGAGGTCGTGATGCAGCTTCCCTTTCCTGCCTGCGTGCGGTTGGGCTTTTGGCCCCGGCGATCGAAAATTGACACATGGGTGCGCTGCCTCCCTGCACCGGCGGCACCACCACTGGAAGTCGAGGCTGGCTTGGGCGGCATGTGTTGCTTTGAGGACTATCAGTGTGTTCGTTCAAATGTGTATGTATATATGTATGTATGTATGTGTGTGAAAAAAAGAATAGGAATGTAAAACGAGAAAAATAATAAAACCAAATGTGAATTTCGATTGACAAAAGCAAATGAAATTCAGCAAAAAAAGCAAACAGCTCTATGTGTCCAGAAAAACACAAATCAAGCTTGCTTTTATTTTTATTTTGTGACGTGGGCATTTCGCAACGGAAAAAATTAGGCCTTGATACGCTTGGCTGGCCGCTCTTCAACAGCATCGGTTGGACCTGAATCCTCTACAGCATCGGTTGGACCTGAATCCTCTACAGCATCGGCAGGTTCCAAAATCACTGGTCCCTCATCAATGGGAGCTTTGGACGCATGCGCAGCCTTGCTATCCCCGTCCTCTAGCTCCCGCTTTTTGGCACGCTTGGCGGCTAATGTCTTGCTCGCACCTTTGCCAGTACCCGCCGGCTCGGCGCGGTCATTGATGAGCTGAGCGCCCTCAGACTCGTAAAACTCTGCCAGACCCATAGCCTCACACATCTCTTTGTAACGCCGCGACGAGCGCAGGCGGATGTAATCGTCGGACTTTGTCTCCGGATGCATTTGCAGCAAGATAAACTTTGTGTTCAAAAAGATATTGCTCGTGCGTACGCATATCTTGGTCAGCTCAACCGCTGTGTGCATTGCTGACAGCTTACCCTCGGCCCGGAATATCGATGGGTTGGCTGCAGCTCCGCGGGCGGTCATGACGCTGGTGACGCCGATGCGGTCGCGGGCGCGCTGCACGTCCTTGTACTCAAATACATCGCCATTCAGGATTATAGGCAGATCTGGCAGCTCTTTGACAATGTCCCTCAGCCGGCCCCACACTGCCTTCTCAGATGGACGCATGGCCCTTGTGCGGCAATGGACAGTAAGTGCTGTGATTCCGGTGGCCGCTATCCGCCGAACCAGCTCCAGCGTCTTCTCAACATCGTCAAAAACCCTGATTTTGCATGTCACCGGGACATTGAGATTTTTGACTAAAATATCGAGAATCGCGCACAGGCGATCGGGATCGGCCATCAACGCCGCGCCCATGCCGCCCAGTATAGAGAAACTTTTGGGACAGCCGCAGTTCAGATCAATGCCCGAAACGTCCTGCTCCACAGTCTTGGCCGCGGCGAGCGCCATCTCGGGCTCAGCAGCACCAAGCTGGAAAATCAGCTTGTCCTTCTCGCTTGGGAGTGTGGCAAATATATCCTTGTCGTTTTTTATGTACGAGATTATACCGCTTTTTTCATCGACCACACGCTCTGCGCCAACAATGCTCTTATCTACAATTTCGGGCGACCATACCAAATCGGCCCCGTACTCCAAACACAACAAGCGCATTGGGAGTGAGCCAATGCGGACCATGGGTGCTAGGAAAAACCCATTACGATATCTGTCCTGCCATGCCTTTCTTTTATCCTGCTCGTCCGCCATTGTATTGTGTATTGTGTCGAAAATGGGGGTGTGTGGGTTGACAAGCAAATGTGACTTGAACCGAATTGAAGTGAAGTGAAGTTAAGCTAACCACATAAAGTAAAATTAAAAGTGTTAAACAGAAAGAGGAAAGAGAGACGTGGGTCCATCGAGCATGAAAAAAGCTTGTGCTCCTCCAAAAGAGCCTTTTGATTTGATTTCTTAATTACGCTAACAAGACGAACCACTGCACAATTGGCGCTTTTTTTTATTGATCTATTTTTGGCTTTTGAGGGGAACTCGGTCTTTTCTTTTCTGTCCACTGTTATTGTGAGAGCGTGTGTGTGTATTGTCGATCGATACTGCCATGTGTGATGCTTTTGTTTTTAGTTTGCGATCCTATTGTGCTGGCGGGCTGCCCAATTGTTTCGACTCTTTTAAACTCACGCTTTCCAAACCGTTTTCGCTTTCTTGTAGCCATTTCTGTTCTCCTATCTCATACACACCTCTACACCTCTCATTTTTACACTTTTACATACTTTCTTTCATCCCGTGTTGCTGGACAACTTTTTCTCCCTACACCTTCACTATTTTTCTCTCCCTTTAGTTCACTCTCATCGAGCATCAACCATGAAGCTCTCTGTTTCGATTGCCGCCCTTGCCGCGGCCGCCTCTGCAGCCACGTTCAACGGCTTTTCCTACAACCCCAAGGAGCTGACCACCGGCAAGTGCCCCACGGTCGATACTGTCAAGTCCGACCTCAAGGTGCTCAGCCAGTACACCAACCAGGTGCGCATTTACTCGGTCAAGGACTGCAACCAAGGCGAGCCCGTACTGCGCGCCATGGAGGGCACTGACTGGAAGGTGCAGCTCGGCCTGTGGGTCAGCGAGTACGAAGAGGTCTATGAGAACGACCGCGACGAGCTGATCCGACTTGCCGGCGAATTTGACTTTAAGAAGCAAGTTTCCGCCATCATCGTCGGTAACGAGGCCATCTACCGCAAGGAGCAGACCTCGGCGCAGGTTGCCGCCAAAGTTAGGGACGTCAAGGCTGCCTTGGCCAAGCTGGGTCTGAGCAGCATCCCTGTCACCGCTTCGGAGACCTGGCCCTACTACGACAAGACTCTCATTGACGCTGTCGACTACGTCAACGTCCACGCATTCCCCTTCTGGGAGGGCTTCAAGATTGAGGATGCCCAGGACACCGTGTTTGGCCATATCTATGATATTCAGAAGCTCGCCGGTGGCAAGAAGGTTGTGGTTGGCGAGACTGGCTGGCCCGACGCCGGAGGCAACTATGATGATGCTGTACCTTCGCTCGCCAACGAACACCGCTACATGAAGGAGTTTATTTGCCGCGCAAACCTCGAAAAGATTGACTACATCTGGTTCAGCGCATTTGACGAGGCATGGAAGCCTGTTACCAATGCCAGTGATGTTGAGACGCATTGGGGTGTTATCAAGGGCGACAAATCTCCCAAGTTTACTTCCCCCATGTACGACTGCAAGGACTTTGTCCCCAGCACCAAGCTTTTCGAGACCGAGAGCGAAAGCGAGAGTGATGAGGAGAGCAAGTCTTCCACCAGAGGTCGCCCCAGCTCAAGTGGCAGCTCTAACAAGCACTCGAGCTCTGAAGAGGGCACCATCGATGAAGACGTTGAGGAAACCAACGAGTCAGGTTCTTCGAGCCAGGGCAAGAGCAGCCACTCAGACTCGAGCTCCAGCGGTGCTTGGTCGCTAACCTCTTCCATTATCCCTGCCGCCGCTGCCGTTCTTGCTGCTGCTGCATTCTATTAAGCAATTTTAATTGAATATTTATCAAAGACATTTTTAATAGACATGCTCAGTAAAATTTGATTTTGATACAAACTGATTCGCGTAGCATTGGATGTCAGCGCTTTAAAAGCATGTTCACAAAAGGATGAATCATTTCCAGCAATGTCATATACAGGATGCTGCTTCCACTATTGCTAAAAATGACATGTATAAATAAGACATGGTTTCTCGAGTATTCCAGTTGGCAGTTCTTTAGGCACTCTTGTTCTTTTTTTACTCAAAACCGCAAACACCTTTACTTTATTTACCAGCAACCATCATTTTCAACATGCAGCTCTTCTCATTCAGCACTCTTGCCCTGGTCGCTGTTTTTGCCACCACTGTCGTGCGCGCCGATGCCTATGCCGATGCCCTTGCTGAAGCCGAGGCCGCCCCCGAAGCAATGGCCAATGCATTCCCTGAACCGCAGGACCAGCCGAATCAGCCGGGTCAGCCGGGTCAACAGGACCAGCAGACCCAGCAGGGTCATCAGGGTCATCAGGGTCAGTACTGGAACTGGAGATGGCGGAATTGCAACCGGCGTTGCCGTGACAGCTGGAACTACCAGCACTGTATGCGCAGGTGTATGTTTTAAGCGATAAATATGGTGCTTTGTCTCACTTTGCCCCATCCGAATTGGGATTATAGTCACTGTCATAGCACATAGGTGCATGTAGCAATTTGATTTATTTATTTTTTAAAACAAAAAATGATATATAAATTTAGTGCAGAAAATGGTCACAATAAATCATTGTTAAAACAAAAGCTGAGAAAACCTCCTATTGAGCCTTCCCTGCTACCATTTTATAGGCAACTATAAACCCTTGGCCGCTGCTGCATTAATGCCTGCTTGGTATTGACTTGGCTCGCAAACTCTCGACTCAGCTGAGCTTATATGGTGAGAATCATGACAATTACCACCTTAGGCAATGCACACATGGAACTAATTGGTTTTATATTTGTGTTTGCTAATTATTTATGCGTGCCACCAGTGCACTTGTTTTTTGCGCAGCACAGCACAAAGTAGAAAGCATTGTGGAAAGCGCTTTATAATAAAAAGCGCTAGCTCTTTATAATTGCGGTCTTTAAATGATTCAATAGAAATAATTTCAAGCATTATAAAACAAAAGGGTATGCCAAGCTGGCTTTCATTAGCCTCTAATACTGAATTACTGTGCAGAGATTCCATGAGTGCGCTATACAAAATACTCTCTTTTTTCTGTTTCACATACAACATAATTATTATTTTATTAATATACATATTTTGCGCTATATTTTATTTACCAACACTGTTAAACCCAACACTATGAACCACCTCATTCAGAAGTTTATTCTTTTTATGTGCTTTCTGTTTAGCTTTGCTACTGCTCTGCCAACAGAATCCAGTGATGCTTCGGCGCACATGTACAAGCGCGAAATGACCCAGGAGACCAGAGACAACTATCTGAAAGCCGGTGTTATACTGCTCGGCGTTATTACAGGCATTCATGTACTAAATGTAATCATAGGAATTGTGGCAGGCATTATTAAACTTATTATTGAAGATTGAGTTGCCATTTGCTGACCATTGTCGTGCTCTATAAAAATGTGGGTCTAAATCGATATATTCAAGTCTTAAAAATTACTTAACTGAAAAAGGGGGCAGCGCTGTGTGGGCAGCGCTGTAAACATCATGGTGTTCCTTGATGTCAGCCAGCAATAACAGAAATGTGTATAGTGGCCATGATGGCGATCTTGATTCTTGAAAAGGGAAGATAGTGGCTTGAAATGTGTGTTGGGCACCACAACCATTTGCTGACCATTTGCTGGCCATTTGTTGCACTGGCAACGTGGCTGTTTATTAGTTGGGCTTTTAAATGTTGCCTTTTTATTAAATAATAAGTAAAAAACATTTGTTACTATTGCGCAGCCCGAGGATATGAAAGTGGGTGTTGAGGTTGAGAATCGCGAAACAGGTTTCCACCTGCGTGCCGATTGACAGGACACTAATTGGATTATGCAGGTGTAAATTTGGGAGGCATTACAATGATGCCCAGATGTGCTCCCCATTTTGCAATGCACACGCGTAAGTGCACACACACGAAAACTACAACATTGACTTGTCAAGATATCAGTCTGCTCGCAGAAGATCCAGTTCTCGCCAACGGAGTGCACAATCGGCAATGTGCACAACAAGGGCGACGAGGTACATATATAAGGTGAGGCCGGCACTAGTAGTACTTTGGAAACATTAGTAATAAAACCCTTTATAAATACACCCTTACTTTTATAACACTAGACAACTAGTGCTCTTTACACCCCCTCTTATATAACATTACAATGTAAGTACACGTCAAGCAAAGCAAAATGAGATATATGATGTCTTTTTTGGTAATATGTTTTTCCATTGGTTATAAAATATTAATTAAAAAATATCATGTGGCCTGTCTACCAACGTTGTAAATAATATGCCTGAATATTACAACTAACCAACAGCAAAATGTTTCTAATCCTTATTCATCTCGATATTAATATTTTACTAATGGTGGTGGTTATAAAAAAACTGCATTTTGCTAGCAGACAGGGATACCAGAATTATACTCAAGCGTGGCTTGGGCTTGCATTATCGGACTGTTTGTGTTTTTAATTATATATCGCAAAGTTTGAACAAAGAATGTGATTAGCAAAATGTGCGGGGATAAGTGAACAGATTGTGCACAAAGTAGAGTAAATATACTGCTATGCCAAAAAAATGTGTAGATTGACGCTTTATTTTTTAAAAAAAGGTATACTGCTTTGCTAATAACATGTGGAGGTAAAAGAAAAAGTGGAAATATTTGGATATGCATATTTTTTGTATCGTGTTGGCCAGATATCTTAGCAAACCATTCAAAATATCTTGGCTGTTTTTTGTTGTTTGTTTGTTCAAACTTGTTTATTAATTCTTGCATTTCCAAATACATTTTTATATTATTATATATGCT